CTGCGTGTCTGGCCATTCGTGTCCACAGCAGTCTTCCAGTTCCTTCGACGTAGTTGCTTTGCCCAAAACAGCACCATCTCCGAGAAGAGACTTCAGAGGTTTTTTGCTGTAGCGGTGTTTTTTGAACTCAGAGTGTGTGTGTGTGCCCTTAAAGTCACAGTGGAAGGCTGAACTCCTCGCCATCTACTTTTTCCTCTGCCCTTTCAGATTGCATTTTGGTTAATTGAGAAAGACCTCAAGGTGCTGATTGCTGCCTGTGATACATTCCGTTCTGGCGCTGTGGAGCAGCTCAGGACTCACGTGCATAAACTCAACTACATCCATCCTCCAGAGCAACACGAGGGTGAGACCATGGTCGAGCTTTTTGAGAAGGGCTATGGCAAGGATGCCGCGTCCATCGCCATGTCCGCGATTGCCTATGGTGAGTGGCGGCAGGTCATTTTCGTGGAAATATCCTAGCGTTTCTTTCTTTCATGCTGATCATTTCAAACTGATTCATGCAGTCAATAATCTTTACTCCCAGCTTACACGGAAGAAGTTGCTAACTGAGATTTGGCAACTTAAATCAGTTTTGTGTAAGTTGTCATATTCACCAGTTTTGGAAGACCTTTTTATGACGTGCAATCTGAATTTCCTCCGGCGTACTTACATGTGTCGGACAAATTATACCATTTGTTTTTATTTCGGCCACCAGTAGTACAGATTTAACCCTTCCATGGTTCATGGCTAAATCTGAGTTCAGGCAGCATAGATGGGGTCCCCGGCACCGTCCGATATGTGGGTAGAACCCCCGTGCTTGTATTTACTTGTACTTGGTACATCTGTGATCTGATTTACTCACATATCTACATAGCCTAGCTGCTGGTTACCTGGGGCATGCACAAGTGGCGGATAATGAAACGGCGAAGGTTAGCTGCGAACTAAGCAGGCTCCCGAGTCTGGCGAATAAGCACTCGTGGACCAGCAGCAACAATGTTACCAGGGTGCGGAAGGCTGAGGTCTGGCGCATCGACTGTCTTGTAAAATGCCTCAAGTCCCAATGACGGCACTGTAACATGTCTACCATGAACCGCCATTAAATGGGTTTGCTTGCCCCCTCTACCTTCTAGTTAGATTCTTGAACCAAAGTGCTAGAAGAAATAATCTTAAGAGGCTGTTGGGGATCCGCCTGTATTTAAAATCCCCACGATCCCTCA